CAAACCACCCAAAAAGTAGATAACAATGAAATTGACTATCTAATTGAAAAATTTTGGAAACAAAAACTGTCGGAAATAAAACTATCTTTTAAAAATCATGTGTCTACAACCATTATAGAAAACACAAATGGTACGATCAAGACAGTTAAGTGTCAGAAAAGTGGATTTTTAGCATTTTGGGGATACCATATTACTGCTGACTTTTCACTTTTAGTAAACTTTTTACGGACTTCTGAAAATAGCATATCAAATACTTTATTCATTCAACTTATACATGATTTAATTAATGAGGCAATATCGTTAAAACTGAATACAATTTTCGTAAGAGATGATTTGTTTTCCAATACTGAAATCAAAATCCTAATTTCTTTTGGTTTTAATCAAAAGGATAATGGATGGATTAAGCCAACAGTATCAGGATTGATTGATTCTATCGATATGTTTAATAAATTTCCAATATTGTTGGAGCATAATGAGGTGGATTACTTCAAAGAAATCTTATCAATGCCGAATGGTGAATTGAAAAATAAATTTCTTTACGAAATAGAAAGAAAATTGTATCCTCTCAAATTTTCTGATTTAGATATTCCGACATATATAATTCCAATAAAACCTTACTGGGCAGGTCAGCTTTTTGATAAGTATATATCATCAAGCTCATTATTTGGAGCAGAAGCCTTAAAAATTTGGAATAAACACAATGTATATTATAGGAATGTGAAACCAGTAAATGAAAGATATCCAAGTCGAATTCTATGGTATCTCTCTTCCGAAAATGGGTTCTATAGAAAGAATGGCATAGTTGCAACATCATATCTAGATAGTGTAAATGTTGACACACCAAAACAACAATTTAGTAAGTTTAAAAAATATGGGATATACGAATGGAAAGATATTTATAGTCTTGCAAACAACAACGTGGAAAACATAATTAAGGCAATACAATTTAGTGATACAGAGGTTTTTCCATCAATTTTAAAATTTAAGGAGATATCAGAAA